ATCTGCTAGAGGAGATCGGCTTGCAGAGTCTATTCCTGGTTTTACCTTACTTCGTAAGACACATTTTCTAAAAAAGCTTTGAATGTGTGATGCAAATTTTATTAATTATTTGTATATCAACTTTGTTTCTTTAAAATTGATTATAAACTACTGCGTGATGTGTAATTTGTTTTTCCTTTAATTGTACATTGACTTGTTTTATATATTCTTTGTTGTACACCACTGTGTGTGATAGTAATTTTTATTTGACTTGTCTATGTCCTGGCTCAGAATGGGCCTTTAGAGGGTGACTTCACACAATAGTAAGCATGATCGGTACGCATACAATAATGGTAATGAATTACCTATGAAATTATGCATTTTCTTGTTATTTCTGACCATTTGATAAACAAAATATCAGCAACCTGGAGGAGTAGGCTAACAAGTATAAATTAGTGTATTAATAAATATTATAACATTAAATAAAAAGTATAATGTTAGTATAATATATTTACAGGTTACACTTTACACCACATTCCAAATTATTATGCAAATTGGAACTAAGGGTCATTAAATATTTAGTTTTCAAATCAAACTTATAGATGGTATTGTGTCTCTGGGATCATTGAGTCACTGAAATCAATGAAGAAGAGAGCAGCTGCTAAACTGCCATTACAAAGCGGTGCGTGTTTACAGACGGTAAGCTCCTCTTTTCTTGAGAAGCTGCAGAGCTGCAGTCTATTCATTCAACTTACGCTGTAAATTTCCAGCTAAACTGATCTCTCTCTCTCTCTCGCCTGTCATTCAGCGGCCTTGGGCAGAATTTTATGTGCATTACTGCTGCCGACAGCTACATGCACGTCGCGGCTCCCCGCGGTTCTATTTCAAGTAGCTGGCTATTTAAAAACGATATAATATTCTCTATGTGGTTCATCAATGGTGACAAATTATCCTAAGGTCTCGCGAGGTGCGGACAACTCCCCAGGGTTAGGGTTACAAATTCTGGATTTATTCACACACTTCAAAAACATTTATTGAAAGTTCTATTCTTTTTACATGTTAAACATCGAAATGTATATTGTAATAGGCAGTATATTAACTTATTGGGAGAAAACTGGTAGTTCTATGTAAAATCAGACGTTGAGCACCCCCATATAGCCAAAATGGCATGATCCTCGTTTCTGCTACGACACTTCAATTGTGAGATTGACAGTCGAATCAGGCTCCGCCCATCGAAGCATCGAATCTTCGACTATTCGGGGTCAGCCCTAAAATGCACCATCTCATGCTGCAAAGAATACCTCTGTGTCATTGGCTGCTGTGGGCATAAAAGGAGAGAAACTCATGGTGTGGCCCCCATCCTCCCCTGACCTCAATCCTATTAAGAACCTTTGGAGCATCCTCAAGCAAAAGATCTATGAGAGTAGGGGGCAGTTTGCATCAAAACAGCAGCTCTGGGAGGCTATTCTGACATCCTGCAAAGAAATTCAAGCAGAAACTCTCCATAAACTCACAAGTTCAATGGATCCAAGAATTCTGAAGGTGATATCAAAGAAGGGGTCCCATGTTAACATGTAACTTGCCCTGTTAAGTGTTTGTTTGAAATAGCTATTGATTTAAGTAAATATGACCTCCTAATGCTACAAGTTCAACAATTCAGTTCTTTACAACCTATAAAATGTTTTGCAACTGTTGTGCATAATAACTTGGAACAGTGGATTAAGAGTTTTTTTATGTTGAAAAAAATAAAACAACCATTGGGTGGTTTGTTCAATGAACTTCAAGTTATTCCCTAATGGTTGATGACTTGAAAATCATACTGACTGTCATTTGCATTGACTATTTAGGAAAATCAGAGTTAAATATTACTTGCATAATAATTTGGAACACAGTGTATTTGGATACTCTGCCTACAAATAATTTCTGTTTCACCAATAAAACTTTCTGATCTAATATTACACCACTGTGATGAGAGTTATAAGTTCAGATCATAGTATAGGCTACTATATAGCTTAAATTATTATAATTCATTAGTGTGCAAGAAAAGTACTCATGGAGGTTAGTCTTTTTTTATGCAAAGTAATAACTTAATAATAAAAACCGTTCAGACAGAATAACGAGTTCAACATTTCAAAATATTTTCATTGCCTTATTGTCAATGGGCTCAAAAGTCACTTAGAAATGAAGCACATGCCTGTTTTCTCCGTTGCTTGCATCAGCCACTATTCTGTTTTTAATGAGAGGTCTCCGGGTCGGATTCAGCCCTGTGCGCGCTCCCAAGCCTCTTTCTGACTACAGCGACCACACGGCAGCCAACGACATGCAGTCCACTAACACCATAAAACAACCAGCTCACAGCAAAACACAGGCTCCACGTAAGGATCCAAAACAACAATAAAGGTTTATGTGCTGAAGCCCATCAGACCAAACAGGTTCAGATGATGTCGAGTGTGACACAATCTCATTATAATATTCAGTCCAGCTCACTACCCGTTTCTTTATCATCCAATATATTTCTGTGCTGACATTGCTGAGCCTCTGGTGAAAGATACACAGATAGTAAAGATAGTTGCGGCTGGCTGCGCTGAATGAAGTAACGTTACGGAGCCGGTGTTGATCTGCCTCTGAGACGGGAACGTTGAAGTAACAGAGCCTGAACACAGACATCTGTGTGAAAAGCCACAGCCTGCATGCTGGTGTTCCTGCGTTTATAAGCGGTTGTGTTTCGGATTATGCTCGCTCAAGCGAGCACACGCCTGGTTGCAATCTTAAAAACGCACCGCTAGTGGCCGCTGAAAACTACATAATGCCCCTTTAAAATAAAATATTGTGTTCAGTGCAGGTATACCATAAAAGTGTGGAGTAGTGTTGTCAAAAATATTGATTTTTTTTATGCATATCAATTCTGAATATTTCAGATGGTTTTAATATAAATTTTCCACAGTATCGATCCACAGCTGATAGCTGATACACACACACTGCTGCAGTGCCCACACAGCCCACTGCGTAAGAATTGCATTTTTTTACCCTGCCAGAGTTTCGACAACTCCGGCCCGACTATGCTGTGATTGACTAGTAATCGTCACTTGTGACTGGCAAAGGATACAAGCAAGTCCATATGAAAGTGACAGTACAGAGCTAACGAGCAAAGCACCCGCAGGAACGGTTGGAGACGTCTCTCCTTTCAACATCACTAAATTATTTAAGTATTGACCAAGATGGCCCAGTAAACTGTTGTTGCTAAGATAGTTGTAGTGTTGTTTGCGTAACAGACATTTATAATTCTCTAAACTAAGCTAATACCCCTCTGAGCATGATGGTGAGATTTCTGGGGAGTTGTTCAGTTCAATAAAAGATTCCTTCTGGCGAGGAAATTATTGAAATCTTTGTCAGTTACAAGTGAGGTGTTAAACCACCACCTACTTGAGCCGGTTGGATTTGTTTCATGTACTAGATTAAAGCTGACCGGGCCATGGTCTGAGATGGTTATAATAAGCATACGCTTATTTTAGAGTTTATGCCTGACAAAAGTGCTCGTGTTTGACAGTAGCCCAGTAGTTCCCTGCCTGAGCTCCTGTCTGAGTATGTACAATAACAAATGCTTAAGAGTGAAAAAGATCAGCTGTAAAAACACAGATGACATTCAAAAGAGCTTCCACTCCAAACACTCTTACCATCACACCTGGAGGCACAGGCTTTACCTCAGTGGGCACAGCACACACTAGTGAGGAGGTAAAGGAAGCCCTGTGGCTGTGAGAGGAATGGGAGACTGAGTGAGGCAGCAGGCAGCTGGCTCCGCTGGGTACTCTGCTGCAGTTCAAAGGCAGTGGGAAGTGTGTGCACTTAACAGAGCGTCCTCATCTTTAAACCTACAGCCTGCAGGGCCACAACTTAAACACACAGAATTAAAGACTATGAGCTAAACCAACAGTCTCACACAAAGCTGTCTGTGTTAGCTGAGGAGGGGGTGGTCTTTATAGCAGGTATTTCTATCAACCAATCATTGGTGCTACACAACCATTGTCACATTTTTGTTTCAGTCTTCACATAAGAACATAATGCATGTGTGTGGTGTTTTATATTTTGTTTCTTTGCTTGGTGCCAAGTAGTTTTTACTGTGGTACCTTTTCTGTCTTTATCCTTAACTTTGGAGGCACCCAGCTGGCAAGATATTGTTTTATCTTTCTTCTGTAGCTCTGCTACAGGACTCAACGTTTACATTAGCAAGCAACATGAGTCACAGTGGTTGTCACAATGCAAGAAACATCAGGAACAGGTTGACGTCAGGATGTTATAGTGGCACTATTTAAATGTTTGAAGCAATGAGAGCAACCTCAACAAATTAAAGCTCCCTATAATTTGCTTTTGTCCTCCTTTTAGAGGACACATTAAAAGCCTTCCAGCTGTTCACATGAGAGAATTGTAGCATCTCCTGGTAGGCCTTTAACGTAAAATATCTGCTGGAAGTGCTGAATTCTATGACAGAATGGAAACACCACACAGACCAACCTGGCTTTCAGTCTGCTCCAGAGGTCTCTTCTTGCGAGGCCCAATGGCAGCTAGAGCAGTGAGGTTGGCCTCTCTTTGCTGCAGCTGAGCTTGTTCAATTTGTTGTAACTAAAAAAGAATCGAGACAAAGGATTAGTAAAATACATATGCACAGCTGTTCACACATTGCGGAGGGCTTGTTGATAATGCCAGCGGCGGACAAAAAAATAAAAAATAAAACTACTTGTGGCGTGAGGTGTTGGAGGGGTGGTGGACTGCAGCCAATCACCTTCTATGCAGAGCGAATGATACGCTGCAGTCTGCCTTTGTCCCTGGCAGTGGCAGAAGCGTACCAGATAGTCATGGAGGAGGTGAGGATGGACAATGATGGTGGTGTAATGTGCAAAGGTGAGAGCACCTTTGAATGATCAACAGTTTATTAAGATCCCAGAACAGGAGAACAGTGCTGTTTAATCACCGTCGCATTGTTACACCAGCCACTGTTGACGTAAAAACAGACACCTCCACCTTTCGAGAGATCAGTGTCACAATCACAGTTGGAAGCCTGCCAGCTGCAGCACAGAGTCCAGTATCGATCCACACTTCTATGTCTCCATAAAGCATAGAACAGAGGATGAATAAAAGTCTGTTTTTCCGGCACGTTTCCCTCTCCACCTGCATTTCAAAGTTTCGGCGTAAAAGCTTGAATGGAAAAGTGAACTCATGAGATGTTTCCCTGTCTCTGACTCAACTACTTGACATGATGAACTACCCAGCAAGAGGGAGTTACAGTTAATTGAATTTTAAATCAATAGCCACACAAAGTTTGTTAAAGGTGGTTCTCTGTCACCAAACTCGCATTTTATGCACTACTACCTTCCACTGAGACCTGAGAAACAGACAATTAGTCAAGTCACGTCACTTTTAAAAGCAACCCACATTGACCAAAGTACTGTCCAGACCAGAGCATGTGGCTAAAATCACAAATCAAAGAAACAGAGACATAAACATTGTCATAGTTTATTGACATAAACAGTAACCCTAACCCTCAAGCTTGTGTGTATGTGAGAGTGTGTTTGTGTGTGTAGGTCCAGACTTGGCGAAGTGCAGTGAGTGAGGGTATGGTGCAGTGGCTGAGAGTGTGTGTGGGGGTGGCAGCAACAGGCCAATGTAAATGAACTGATTTTTTTTTTTTGTTTTAAAGAAACCTCTGGGAGCATGATGAAAAGGAAAACAAGCCGTTAAATAGACACACACCTATCATCTTCCTCACACTTCTCCCTATTCTGCCAGCAAATAACATTACACACACTAATGCATTACTAAATGAACAATTAGCAAATTTAGAAACACAGGCATTTAACAAAGTTCCCAAACAACACTTCTTTGTAGTTTACACTGGTACACAGAACTGAAAAATATCAGGAGCCTTTCACTACCTTAGTGTGAAATAAACCGGTTATCCACAGACCAATCCAGCCTCAATCCATAATCTTCATCTCTGATTCTTCTGACTGAAGTGCCAAAAATGTCCCCATGTAGATTTTGAACAACTTCTGTCCTTGGTTAATGCACCCAACCATGTATATAACTTAATGCTCTATTTTAATAATGATAATAATAATAGAAACAATAATTGCTGTAGTTAATTCTATTAAATTACTTCAATAATAGGGCAACACATACCATCAGGTAACACAAATGTGTCTATTGTCAAGAGTTTGTGTGATTCAATTTACATTAATGTGCAGTAGCACTCCCTTTACTATCTTGTATTACAAGATTGTGGAAAATGCTGGACATCACTGCTCCATGCCAATACTGGATTTTTATCACTAATGACACACACACACACACACACACACACACACACACACACACACACACACACGCTCAATTAACTAAAACCAGTTCTCTCTACACATCTTTTAGCCTGTTTTAGCTTGTGTATAACACAAGATTGAAACACATACACACCTCTTTGGCTCTTTGCTTGAGCTGCTGATGCAGTGGATCCTCAGTATGTGAGCGACTCTGAACACAGACAGATGATACATTTCATTTCACTTTGTTTCCATATTTTTTTCTGAAATTTGTCTTGCGTCCTATGATGTTCACTGTTTCACATATAACAAAAACACATAATTTAACCAGTTGACTTAGTCAGCAGCATTTAATCCTACACATAGCAGAAATGTCAACACATATTGTCGTAGTAGTTTTAAAGAGGTGGTATTATGCTCATTCGCCGCTTGGCAAGCTTTATGACGCGTTTGCATTGTGACGTCACAAGTAAAGGAAGTGAAGGGCTGGACTACAAACCAGCTGTTTTCAAGCAGTTCAGAGCAGAGCTTTCTGTGGGAGATGGGAACTCCCTTTGGGCTGGACTTTGGGCTTTTTCACTTTGCAAACCTGTTACATGCACAAAAAAAGAGATATAACTCAATAAAGGAGAGGGGAAAAGCCAAAAAGCAGAATACCACCTCTTTAATTATGACCTAAAAGGGCACTTAAATTTCTACAAATGTCTAAAGAAACTTTTAAATCTAAACTTCATATCATAAAAACAACCATAACCAAACCTTGGTTGTATATCTAATGTCTAGTTTCTAATAGAAAAAATGGTAGTTTAAGTCTTGTTTCAGTCAAACAAGAGTAGGGCTACCTTCTAGCCTAGCTTACTCTGGCCAAACGCAGAAGTCTCTCTCTCCTCTTTGTCTTTCCTTTTCTTCTTCAAACTCTCCACCTCCTCCAGGAAGCGAAGCTGGGAGCGTACATCACTCACTTTGGCATGCCACGGGTCCTCCTGTTGCAACACACACACACACACACACACACACACACATCAGTAAGAATGAGGGGTGGAGCTGTTGTCATGCTTTATTATGATTGGCTTTCATGCTTATTGTGATTTTATTTTTTTTTTCTTCTGTTTTTCCTGGCTTTATTACCGAAACACGTATTGCCCATTCATTTGAAAAGGATGACATGGTTTTTGGATTAAGATCAGTGGACTACGATCCACCCGGCCCAAACTACCGGACCAGGCAGCACGATGGGTGCGGTGAACGCTCAGAGGAGAGAGTCGGGAAAGGAGCCATGTTGGCCCAGCTTGGACTTCAGGCTGCTCCTAAAGGTCCAGACAAAGTGGGACTTATGTTGGCCAAGGAAACGGAAATCAGAGACATCATTACAGAGACCACCGGTCGACCAGCAGTGGGCGGCAGAGGCAGCTCCTGCTAAATCTCCAATGGGGGGATTGCTGCGAAGATATCTAAAAGGTGACAAGTTCAATGGTCTAAGTCAGCTATAAGACAAGGATTGTTCCTTAGGCTACATACTGTACAGCACTCATGGACAGCTACATCCCGAGGTTCATTATCAATGTCTACAATGACTGAACAGTCCACAGTGATCAACTTCAGATGGGTTGCTGTTTTTCAGTTCATCCTCAAAGACCTTTGGATGTAAACGAAACTACATTAGCATTAATGAAAAAAAATACTCTCACAATCATCTGATTTAGCTGTGACAAACCGTTTTATTTAGGTACAACAAATCCAGAATAACGCGCAGTGGCACTGGGGCTGATGATGTGCAATTAATAAAACTAGTACAGTATACACTGTTCTCCCATGCTCTATAGTCACACAGTAACAACAAGCTATGTGTGTTTCTCCCACTCTTCTTCTGTATCTACACATAAACAAGAAGGCATCTAAAGGATAACGTAAAAAGATTATATAATTATTATTATATTGGTTGAATTTTCAGCCTGAATGTACGTTTTGTTGAAACAGCTGATAGTAGGCGGACTGCTGAGTTGTTATCACGTCACAGTGGCAGAAGCGTAGCTCAGCTGCTGGGCGCACGACGTAAACACACAAGCCAAACAGATTGCATTGCAGCGCCCGCAGCTCGAAAAAAAACTGCCTTTACTTGAAAGTCTATGAGAGCAATCTGGGCCATTTTCAACCAGACTGAAACTCCATGGGACTCCATGGAACACGACTTTACAGTGATTGGACAAAAATATTCAGAGGCAGACGGTCTGTCAAAAAGTGTCACAGTGTTGTAGAAAGTGTGAGAAAAATCCCCTGCCTTTCTCGGCTTGGTGGTGTGTCGCCCGATCGCCTTAATGAACAAACCGCCCCTGCTGGGCGGGCGGTCAGTGGACCGAGCGGTCAGCGTAAGACTCCAGCAAGATGAGAGGAGGTGGACTGTGTTTTATATCGATGATGAATGGTGCTCAAACACAGTCAAAGATGGACATTAGTTTCTTGTGAATTAATATCTTGTTGCTACTGTTTACATTCTACCAGACGCACATTCAGCACGTACTAGCTTTTATTTTATATAGTTGCAGTGTTTCCCATACGTTTTATTTTTATATTTTTTTATTTCTGGCGGCTCACCACAATATCAACGCTGACCACCACCGTATTTGATTGCAGAGCGCCATAGCGCATTCGTGCAGCACATCCTCTCGCTCATCCTTCTCTCTCTGTTTTGCTCACCCGTCCTTCTCTCTATCCCTCATGAACACAGCTGCCCAGGAGGGCTAAGTTAATGTTACAAGACACCTGGGTTTCGAGGCGAGCACGCTGTATACAGCTGGTAGTCAATTTCGACTGCACGTAAATGTGTTGACCATGAGCAGAAAATCTGCTGAAAAACACAGGAGCTATTAAAGTCCAGGAGTTTATAACTACATTAAAATTAAATAATTTATTATTATGGTGAAAAGGAGCCACAGTCACATTTAAAGAGGTTACTTCCCCAAACAAAGACACAAAGAAGAGGGAAGACTAAATCATGACTCAGCAGGGGATGATATGAAAGTTGATCTACAGGAGAAACAGGTCTGATAGCAGCACAGAATGAGCTGCATTATAGTTCAGTTACAGATTTTGAATCATCACCTGCCACCTGAATTTTGTGTTTGTGTTTCTCAATCTCGTGAACCCGAATCTCGAATCTTGTCTTGTCGGTTAAGTGTCTCGTCACACCCCTAGTTTTCACTATCAGATCACATACTATTGCCAATAATATCAGGATTATTTCAAAACAATATCTGGTATTTATCCGTTTGTTTATTTTCCTTAGTAATCCCTCATTTATTATTAGGTATTTAGCAATAAAAAATGCCCTCATTTAATCAGTAAGAATGTGCCTGTGTGTTTTGTTTGAAGTAGGTCAATCTATTGAAAGAATTTAATTCCATAAGAGACTGATCAAAATATGAATAAAATTTTATCTAAGTATGTTTTAATTTCCCATTATTAATATGGTGGTGCCCCAGACGAGTATTTATTTGTCGTGTGTAAGTAGTGTTTCTCCTACGCGTGATTAAAGGGGTTAGTTAAATCTCTTTTTGTACTAATTCAAAACTACATATATCAAGAATCAAGAACCCAAGTAGCATTAGGTCTTTTGTTCGGGTGGAGGAGTGAAGGATGCTTATTATTTTGGATTATTCAGTTTGCTACGTACATTGAAACAAAGGCATCCAGCCTCATAAGTAAGTAGTATGTGTTAGGAGGGGTAGGCAGGTATAGACAGAGGTTGGGACACTGCACAGGTGCTGATATGAGAGAGGCACTGAACTGAATACACATTTACCTTTATCTCTAAAGACAGTTACTGTATCTGGCCTTGTGTGTGTTGTTCGCGCTGTCAGGAGGTGGTGTGAGAGTAGATGTCCATTCACTACTACTATTTATCATTACACTTGTGTTTCACTACTATGTTTTCAAAAAACATTTGCTGAAGCACTTCTTTTCACCCTCAAGTGTGACAAGTGTGACAGCATGATCAAAAACAAAGCCGCCTTAGACGGACACAGCCTTGTGTCAGCTGTACATGTTCCCAAAACAGCTTCACAGTGCAGAGTTAGATATTTCCAAATGGTAAGTTATTGATTTGTTACAAAGTTATATTGTGCACCGTCTCTACAGCACAGTAACAATACGGTGGACGTATTTCAGGGTTTTTCCTGGCGCAGAATGGGCCTTTTGGGGGGTGACTTTGTGCGACAGTACGAATGATGGGTGAGTAAAGGCAATGACTTAATGACCTAATGACCGAAATCTATGCATTATTTCTGACCATTTGATAAAAAAAACATATATTATATAACATTAAATAGAAAGTATAATGTTAGTATAATATATATTTACAGGTTACACTTTATTTGGATAATCTGCCTACAGATAGTTTATTAATCACAAAATTATTGTGCAAGAAAAATGGTGCTCTGTCATTGATTTGTTTATGCAAATTAACTATGAAAAAAACTCTGCTTACAGAGTTAAACATTTCTAAAGTTTGCTGTAGTGCCTCAACCTTTTTTTAATGTCCCGCCTCCTCCAGGCTGTGATTGGTTGGTTAACGAAAAGTGACTTTGACGCGCCACTATACACACGGCTGCATGAAAGGCTCCTGATCTCCCTGCGGAGATTAGCAGGCAGGAGAGAACGGGAACAGGTGATCGTCACGTAGTGCCTAGAAAACCTGATGTGGAGAGGGAAAAGGAGCGAACCACGCTAAAGAGTAAAATGTAAATGTGACAGTAGCAGTGAATACCGATGCACTTGAAGCACAAACGGCTTTTATATTGTGTGAAATAACAGGAAGTCAGTGCCAGCTGCATGTGTAAAGTACAGCAGCTGTGGATGAGAAGACAGGTGACTACTGAAGTCAAGACGTTGTATTTAAGTTTATGTTGTGCTTGCTAAATGGCAGTTGTTTGATAAATTGCTATTAAAACACATTCAGAGAGGATTTGAAAGGTTGTTCCCCCCCACCCAATTTTGATCATTTTGGCGCTGAGGATTTTCCTTTGGCGCTCGCTAAAACCTCTTTGGTGGGGGGCAAAAACTTTTCTATGGAGGAAAAACCCTGCGTATTTGTCACTGTGTGTACTGCAGCTCAGTGTGTTTTTGAGGTTGTGCCTGACTAACAGCTGGACGAGCTATCAGGAGCAATGTTTTCTGTGGGAGATGGTAACTGCCTTTGGGGTGGATTTTGGGCTCGTTCCCTTTGCAAACCTATTACATGCACAAAAAAGATTTAGAACACAAAAGTGAAAAAGACAAAAAGCAGAATGTGATTTCTTTAGCATCTGCCGCACAACTTGAATGATCACATTAAAAAACTGAATCTAAATAGAATAGTTTCAATTTGTATTGTTTAACTTGAATAATGGCATTGAAAACGTGAATCTGAATTGTATAATTTGAGTTGTAACTGAAAATATATTTAAGCCTCACTAAAAATTCAGCTCTGTATGTACTTTCACTTCTCTCAATTCGAATTCACTTATCTCATTTCAATTTCAAGCCACAAGATTCAGTTTCAAGGTCACAGACAGTTCAAGGTCCTTCAGGAAGAGCAACTGAATTCAGTTTCAAGTTTATTGGAATTCAGTTTCAAACTAATAAATTCAATTTCAAATTATTCTATTCAGTTTTTCAATGCAATTATTCAAGTTAAACAATACAAATTCAAATGTATAATTTATAATAATATTAAAATTCAGTTTTTTAATGTGATGATTCAAGTTGAGCAATTTAAATTCTGATTCTACTGACACAAATATCAGCCCATCGCCGCCAGGTATACCAACACTGCACTGACTAGTACAGAGTCGTAGCCCGGTCATTGACGATCTCTGATACTAATTACACACACAGTCTGATTATGCATAGGTGTACAAACAAAATGGCAACCCACACCCGCTTGTCTGCATCATGTTATGTTATTGCTCTGGGCTACATTGTCTACTAAGGAAATGCTGGATCCTTTTCTCTTTAACACCATATGGACGTTTCTTGTTATAGCAAGATAGACTTGCTACAACAGGAAAATGTTATTTTCAGAGATCTGTTGATTGTTACTTTAAGAAGAGTTTGTTCTTAAAATTAATATTTTGCTAACTAGTGCAAAAATAATGTGGAAAATGTTACAGTGGATAACAAAGGATCCTGTAAAAATAGTGGAAGGTTTATTGAAATAACAAAGAACTGAGTAGGGTTTCTTTCGTCATGGTGGCAGAAATGACGGGCGAAAGTAATAAATATTAAATGACAAAAGTGTAGTTGATAAAAATGCATGTGAATGGAAAAATTAAGGGGTAAAATGGATGTGAAATGAAAAATAGTCAATATTCAAGTGATTTGATTAATTTAAAGTTGATTAAAACAGTAGTGATAAAATGAAAATATAACCATTTTGCATCAGTTTTATTTATAAATCATGATTCACAACCCAAAATTGGCATTCATTATTTAAAGAATGTAGCCTCAAGGAAAGTAAATAATAAAATGGAGGTGATGAAAATGCATGTGAATTGAAATATAGAGTGGTTAAATTTAAGGTGGATTGAAATATAAAGTAATAAATTGTCAACTGATGTGATAAACTTGATTTACCAGTCATCATTCACAACACCCAAATGTCATTCATCGTTTACCGCATGTAATTTGTTACTTGCCGATTAAACTGTCAATCACAAACCATGCCCCCTGACATATTGATCAAGTTTTTGGCTCTCAACTTGTCGGCCTCCGAGGACGCTGCTGGAGCTGGAGCAGCCCAGCTGACCAGAGGAATATTATGTCGTGCTTTGCTGTTAATTGTACAACAGACTGCCCAAGAAGCCACTGCTCCAGTTGTATCGGTGAGTGAAATTGTAGTATTTCATTGTAGCTACAGGTGATGCTTGGTGGACAGGAAGAACTCTGCACCCCCCTCAACACTTCCATCCCCTTACTGTAATGGTACTGGCATGTCTTTTCTCTCCCTGAACAGTCACTCGTTAGAGGAACAAATCTAACGTTAGACTGTCGATGTGGCAAGTTTAATGTAAACACTGTATAAAGTCAGCTAAATAACAAGGTTGATCATCACTTTCCAACTTCACACGCGACTTCTTTGAGCCTTTAGCTCCCAAGTATTGTCACCCCTAAATTAACTTCTCTAATACGTTTTTACTTCTGTGTGTGACTCTCTAAAACCTGGTCAGCATACCCTCCCGTTCAGTTAGCATCAGCTTGGGATCGAAGCTTGCCGACAAGTTGAGAGCCAAAAATGACGATGAACGACAGTAGGGTGTTGTGAACGATGAATGGTAAATCACGTTTATCACATCAGTTGACAACTTATTACTTTATATTTAAATTCAGCTTAAATTTAAGCACTCTGTATTTCAATTCTCATGCATTTTCATCACCTTCATTTTATTATTTACTTTTTGTTACTTTAACCCCTGAGGCTACCTTCTTTAAATGATGAATGCCAATTTTGGGTTGTAAATGATGATTGATAAATAAAAGTAATTGTTTTGTTTTCATTCCATCACTACTGTTTTAATCAAATACACTTTAAATTAATCAAATCACTTGAATATAAGCATTTTATTTTTCAATTCACATACATTTTCATCACCTCCTTTTTTAATAAAGTAATATTTGTTATTTTCACCCCTCATGGAGGAAAAACTCTGCCAGACATGAATGACTGTTCTGACATCATTTTTCTAAGTGAGAATAGATAAATCACTTCTTCATAGGGCAATATGGAAGTAAACCACTGCCGCTGCTTTGGGTCAGGGTCAGACTGCTGTACCTTCAGGCCTGCCTTGCGGTGTTCTGCCATCACAGTAAGCTTCTCCAACAGCCCACGGAGACACTCCTGTGTAGCATGAGAAACCAGAGCCACCACCTCTGGACCGACATCAGTGACTCCCAGCGCCTGTCCTAACACAGGAAATACAAAACATAGCATCACAACAACAGTCGAACACAAAGGCACATTACAGCTAAGCTTGTCTGGTGCATTTTCTAGGAAATCAAGTAAAAAAAAATAAAAAATGGATCAAATATATTTACTGAGGGGGTGGGAGGTCCGATTTGCTCTACCTCTGAGCAGGGAGCTCTGGTAGTAACAGTGATGGAACGATGTGTGAAAAGCCACAGCCGGCATCCCAGTGTAGTTTTATATGCAATTTTTATTATCTGTCACGGCGCTGGTTCCAGGAAGCCAGATCGCTATGTGAAAGCTCACAAGGTTGCAGGATTATGCCGCAAACTTTTGCTTAGTATGAATGAGAGAATGCGGCATGTTGGCAGATCTATCTATTGCGGGATCCCTGAACGAGGTCTTTGGCTGCATTCACACAAAATCCAGCAATGTGGCTCCTTCCTGCAGGGTTGTATGGGGGTTTGGCCGTGGTTAATTGTGGTTTTGAATGTAACCGCCGTGAAACAATCATAAAATAATGTTTTATTTCTTTGATTCACTACTTTGTTCTCTCTCATCACTTTTTTCATTCACCCTCTTGCTCGCTCGACCATCACTGCTATCACTCTCTCTCACACACACACACACAGTCCCTTCTCTAGTGTCCATCCAGTTCACACAGATGAGGGGGCCATCTCCCTGGATCCATCTTCTTATGGCATGAAGTGCACTATTACTGTGATAAATACACTTACCCATCTTCAAATGAATCCCTATTATTTTGGTATTCCTCTACATTGTCTGAACCAAATCCATCAGGCTCTGAAACTATCGGTTAGCTTCACACAAAATGCAGATGGACACATGGACCCACCAATTACTCATGGTGACAGGTAAACTAGCTCTCCTCCCCCGAGCTTGCTGTGAGAGTCGGACGAGGTTATACAGACCAGAATCTGTGGTAAATGTTAAATGTTGAGTCTAGTACGTTGGACGAGGTCCGGTGCTTGTACCTGTATGAAGGATTCGGCTGAGCACAGGGTTAGGTGAGAGGAAGGGCTGATCCTGACATGACTGAACCACAGAGCCAACCATGGTGGTCAAGATCCGTGCATTCTCCTCTTTCAGGTTGACTCCAGCCATGGAGGCTACATCATTAATGTCATCATCTTCTCTGGGAAACACACACACACACAATTGTTCAACTTGAAACCCCTCACACTTAAATTTGAGTGTAAAGAAATCAACTCTATGCATTACTTGTAAGATCCTGAACTGTTCTTGAATGTAAATGTAGTAGAACGAGGCGGATCCTGCTTGAAAGAATGTTTCATTGAAAATGTTCCTATAAAAAGAGAAAACAAACAAAGAGTAGCATTTCATTTAGCCAAGTAGGCAACGTTATCTGGATAACAACATCTACACCTGGTATTAATAAGCATAAGCAATTCTGTCTGCACTGTCATTGACTTGATGTAGTCTGGCAGATCTAATTACAATGTGTTCTTGTGTGTACATTTACATCTGTATAAATATGGTTAATGGACTGTACTTGTATAGCGTCTTTCTAGTCTTCCAACCACTCAACCAGGTGTAAATAGGATCTACAAAGTGAGTTTAACAGGGAAAAAAATGGTGCCCCCTTTTCTATATAAATTCAATCAAGAATTGGTTTTGAATCAAAAATTGATTCTGGATCAAATCGTGACCACAAGAATCCGAATTGAACTCCAAACTCACCTGCTAAGTGTTTTCCTGACTGGATCACTGTGTGTTTGGGGGAGGGTCTGCTGCTTTTAGATATGTCATTTCTGGAGTGGGCTAATGTTGTCAAACCAGGTCTCAGAGTCAATCCTCGAGGCAGCTGGATAACCTGCATTTTAAGGGCAATCATACTGCATCAGCATCATCAAGCATCAGTCCCAAATGTGGCATGAACAGTACTGTGGAAAAGCTGTAGGCAAGTATGGACAAATTAATTAAGAATGCTTTCAAAAATAGACTCCATGATCCTAGATAATAGATTCCATTTATCAATTTAATTAAATTCTTTGTTCAGGGTAAACTCTAGAGTTTTCACTTAAGTCAATTCCTAAAATGGCGCCCTGCTCTCCACCTGCGACGTGTGGCACCGCTGTGGGACAGACTTGGACCACCTCTGCAGACTGCTAGGTACGGCTTGCAACGGGGGGGCTTAGACCCCACTAGTGTAATTTTATTTAATTTTTGTTTCTTTCTTTGTTTCAAACAAACCCTGAGTCTCTCTGTCTCCTCCCTCTTACAGAGCAACGCTGTTTCATTTCTTAATCGATTCAGTCCATATAAAAGCCTGTATCAGTGCCAGTGTTTCCCGTTTCTTGATTTATTTGTGCCACACTATCAACGCTGACCGCCACATATTAATTTTCGATTTCTTTACCATTTAAAATAGGTAAAATCGTATTTCATTGTAGAGCCGCGCACAGCGCAAATTCGCTCAGCCCCTCCCCTCACTCGCTCCCTCTCTCCCCCTCTCTCAAAAAACACATTAGGCCCTTAAACACGGCTTTATTTTCTAGGAGTATTGCACCAATATGCCAACTTTCTGTGCTGTATGAAAGGTATGGAGCTGGAAAGGGGTCCGATGCAATGAAAACACGATCATGGGCTGCAGGAAATCTTTTTTACTGACTTCTGACTTTCCGCGAGAAGATTTGTGAATCAATTCGGAGTTGACTGGTTTGTATCATAAACACCGCTCTACAACTTTGTCCAAACTATTGCATTCAAGTAAATTGATAAGTGTATGTGTATGTTCTTAACACAACGCTGTCAATGTCAGAGACCCATCTTCAAATAAATTATTAGCAAACATGTATGGCGCCTAACTAGTTAGAATAAAGCTGGGTTGTCCAAGTTAGCACACTGTACATAGCTGCCACTCAATATCAACAGCACCCCCCCGTCAGTCCATTGGAAACACTGAATGCGCATTAGTTAGATTTCATTACCTGCTGGTTTGTATTGCATTTTTGACCTGTGTCAGTGCTGGACTGCTTCATGGTGGAAGACAGAGTGATGGAGTTGTGGGTGGAAGTTGAAGCCTGTTGGATAAATGATTGGGGGTCTGCAGTAAGGCGACGAACCGCAGGAAGACTTTTCTGGTAACAATGAGGAGAAGACGAAAGGAAAGACGTCATGTCATCAGCCAAATTCCCTTGAGACATTTGTATAAGCTACTTTGAGTTCAAATTTATTCCATTTTGTTTATCAAAACAATGATAAGAGCTAAAACCAGTGTAAGGGAAAATGGTAAGCAGAGTCATAGCTAAGCAGAGTCCAAACATTACCAACTAGTCTCAGAATAGCTTTGGTGAAAGAATACAACACATGGCAAGCATTGTTAAAAGTAGGGATGTCCCGATCTCCATGTTTTTCGCCCTGACGCCCTATCAGAGACTCACTGAAATAATAGCTGTAGCCTTCTAAATTTGGCCCACCTTCTTTTTACAACCTACTTAGTCCAAATGCTGAAGGTCCAGATTGAACACCAATAGGTTGATCATCTTAAATTAATGATATAATATGAATGAAAGTTTAACATTCCTTAAAATCTGAGCTTAGTGAATCTGTGCATTTTGCCAACAGAGTCAATCACTGACGCGACCAAATATTTTCATTCTAATATTCAGTTTCATTTGCAGTGAAATGCTTGCAGTCAAGAGCCTGGCTGTTCTTAGAGAGAGCAGTACTGCAACACTGGCAGGCTGAGATGGAAAAAACACAGCAAAAGTTCTGTAAAGAACTGATCTGAATGTTGAATCCGCTTATCTTAGCCAATTGCGTGCATTTATAATCTGCTCAGACCAGGTCAGAATTTTAGACATTTTCAGACTTTCCATATTTTGT